CGAGGCTGCGACGTGCCTCCTGTCCCTTTGGGACATCCATTTCAACAGCAGCTTTCCTCCGAAGGTTTCGCAGCAGGGGAGGATAGCACAACATCAAGGGACGATGAAAAAGACGCCAATCTGAGTGCAGCAAATCTCCCTGCTCCTTCGTTGCAGGATGTTGCTTTGGGCCCACTAGCCTCTACCCTCCCCCGTCCCGCCGAGCAGCAGCGGCAGGACCACGCCGCAGCTGCCAAAGGCAAAGGTCACACAAGGGCAGAGGGCTTGAGCAAGCCGGGCTTAGACAGTGCCGGCAGCGATGCGGAGCTTGTGTCAGACACAGCTCGCTTGCCATTGGACAGCCTCGCTGCAGAATCCGTGGGGTCAGTCCCGCTCCCAGATGGCGACAGTTGTTCGGACCCTTTGCTGCATACATTTCCTCAACTTTCGTCTACAGAGGGATGCACACCATCAAGGGATGACCTCACTGCAAATAGATTTAATCTTGCTGGCGGTCCTGCTCAGGCGCACGGAGACGGCTCTAGCTCTGCACACGGGCTTAGTGAGAGACGGGTGAGTGCAACTATTCTCACACGTGATCGTGCAGATCTTGATCCAGTTGTGCACCACTTCAGCCCTGGTGCTGCAGAGGACAAACCCACTCCAGAAAGGGACAGCACAGGAGATTCGATCATCACTTTGGCCCAGATGCCAGTTGACGACACATGCTCTGACACATGCTCTGGAAATTCCGGGAAACAGCCACAGACAGCCGGCACTGTCTCCGTTGCTTCTGGTCTGGTCCCGGAAAATCGGTCCCAAGGGCTGCCTCACCTACGTCATGTGCAGGCGTCTGGAATGAACAGCAAAGACGAAGCAGATCGTGCTGTCTGGACCCCTGCCAACAGAGCACACCTGCTGGACGGCACAAGCGATGCTGGCGCAATCCAGCAGAACCGAGACCGGCAGGGATCCGGCCCTATCCCGACAGACTCTGACAAGTTCGTTGGCAATGAAGAAACCCACCTGGGATCTTGCACGACGGCCTCCACATCTCTGCGAGGAAGGCACATATCGCACACCCGCCATGCGAGGTCCGTGGAAGTTCTAGCATCGTCACTGTGCATCTCGTTCGGGGAACTGGGGCCTGAATGGATTGCGGCGGACTCCGTGAGCCGAAAAGCACATGAGCTGCCAAGCGTTCCGATGCAACGTGTGGGTGGTGCTGCCACGGAGAATATTGGCCTGAGAGACATCGCCTTAGAAAAGACTGACAGCCTAAGCTCGGTGACTGACAGCGAGGCTGAAGTTCGGGCTGCAGCAAATGTCATTCCCAGCACCAGCTTGGGCACAACACTGACACAGGCCCGTCTGCGACTGTTCGCCTGCAGCCATGCATCCTTTTCAGCACGAATTGCTATCGACTCTCTGGGTGCGAGGAGGAGGAGAGAGAGAGAGAGACAACCAGTGCGCGCTCGCGCGCAGGGTACGGTGCCTGCCGTGCTCTTGACTGTGTGGAAGCAGAGAGAGAGAGAGAGAGAGAGACAAACAGACCCTGAACCGAAGGGCAGGTGGTCGATCCTAGATATGTTGCGATAGTCGTTCCTGCTCGCTGCTTTCCCACGCGCGTGTTGCCCTCGTCTTCATCGACGCCTGACCCCAGAGTAGAATGTAACCCTGTGCTCCAAAGGAGGGAGATTGCGTTTGCAGTAGTTCTTGCATCGCTGTGTTCCAACGAGTGCGTTTTTGTGCTGCCCTCGTGTACCGCTGCGGATTCCCACAGCCTCTCCTGACCTGCAGCTCTGAGGCCTTAAGACCTTACCTGGGGAATTTTGTCGGAAAGCCTTTACTTTTCCTAGTGTTCGGTATGTTTGCTTTGACGGCAAGTTCTGCAATGAGGCCTCAGTTTCTACCGGAAGCTCGCGAGGAGTTGTCCTCTGCTTGTTCTTGAGAGTTGTTGGAGGTGTGGGGTACATTCCATAGAGTTGAGAGTTGGGCTTTTTGAGCGAGCATTCCATCTATGTTGCACAATGTCGAGCGCCTTTGGCACCCGCAACAGGCGGGGGCGCTTGAGCACGCGGTGGGGAGGCAACTCCCCACCACAGTGCTGGGGAAAGAAAGACAAACAGGGGCACGCCCTTCGGCGCGGGGTGCCTGACCAGCACCCTGAACCCCGGAGACTAGAATAGAGAGAGAGAGAGAGTGACAGAGCAAGCAAGATATAGAGATTCCGGACAGCATGTTGCCTGACATGGTTTCGGGCGATCACGGCATATCACAGCCACCTGACCAGGCGGATGCAGAAGCCGAGAAAAGCCACTTGGGAGCATGAAGCACGAGATGGTTGTTCTTGTTTTATGTGTTTCGGTTTTCAGTTTGGTGGCGTCCATGGCAGTCCTTTTCAGGACTTTCGCCTCGCACCTCCGACAGTCGGCGGAGACGGTCTCCCCCCAACGGGACACTTGGCTTCGCTAGTAAGTGGCCAGAAAGGTCAAGCCGGTAACCCAGACACATTTCGGAGTCCAATGTGCTCTGAAATGCCCCGAATGAAAATTGAAATCTTTGGCTCCATGTACTTTGCGTCTCCCTCGCTTCGCCCACATGCGCCCCACATATCACGAAGCTTCGCATACTCCTTTTTGTCTTACCACAAGCATACCGCAGGCGTAACCCGAATACGCGCTTTGGGTTGTTTTTTACTACGCCTGTTGACTGCGTGCATATACCCCAGGCGTACCCCGCGCATCGCTTACAGTAAAGGCGGCGTCTCTATATGCAACACCCTGACCCCGATCACGGACTCGCGGGCGTACCGTGACCAACCGTGTGCGTCGCGAACCCTGCGCGTTGGTCTAAAGATGCCGCCCCGCTGCTGGTGTACCCTGCACATTGCACACCCTCCCGTGGTCCGTATATGCCGCCGTACCGCACTCCGGCAATGCCGTCCAAGAAAGAGTCATCACCCACCACGAGAACTTAAAATGAAGCCGAGATGTTTTTCCTGAACGCCCGGATGGTCACTAAGGAAAGGCCAAGCCGCGGGCCAGGCCTGCTGAGTTTCGAAGCTGGGCCTGGGTTTCTTTTGGTGAACTTTCCGGAAACGGGGAAAGCATTCAGAAGTAGATTTCGAAACCTACGGCTTGCGGTGGATGCTCTTTGAAGCTGTTCCTTACCCGCCTTCCCCTTCTTCTGTAACACCACAGCTGGTTTCAGGGCCAGGTTCATTGGGTTTTGCTGGCGGCACGAAGAAAGAATATAGGACACGCACCTGCAAAGTGCGAATCTCCTGGCAGGTACCTGGCACAGGCCAAAACGCGTCTGCGCCTGCCAGCGGGGGCCTACAAGGAGTGCTCTTTCACCAGCCGAAGGCTGAGCCAAGTAGAAGGCGCGCCTCCAGACGCACGGAAGGGACTGGAAGCTCTGACTCTGCGAACTTCACATCGCGGCCCCTCGGCCGTTCCATGAACGATTCGTCTGACTGGCATAGCTGTGCCTCTGCAAGTGAATCGGAAACAGATGCAGCCGGCTTGGGATCGCTTGGCAACAGTGATGTGTCAGGGGTATTTCAAGACGCACATTCCCCGAACAGGGCAGGCGACTTGATTTCTGCGTCGGCGGAGGTGCGCATGCGGCTGGCAGAGCTGCCAGATTCGCCGTGGATCAACGTGACAAGTCCCGGCAGGGGATACATGCAACCAAGGAGGAGCTGGCCTTCACTGAGTCAAAGCCCAGCAAAGAGCCTTACTCCGTTTAATTACTCCTTCCATCTACCTCCCTCAGACACGAAGATCTCCAGTGCTACTTCCAACCATGCCGTGCCCATACTTGAGCTGCCTGTCGGAAGCATGCCGGATCGGACTGGGAAAACAACCAGCGCCCCAGGAAGCGCCAGAGATTCGGAGATCCCCACGTCTTGCCCGACGCTGCCAATTCAACGGAAGCACTGCTCGCCAAAAGCTAAGCCTGCGGGGCAATGCCAGTCGTCTAGCTCGCTTGATGACACCACCTCGCCGGTCGCGCTGGACGCGCCAAAGCCACATCCCAAACCTGGCCTTCCAGCAAGCCCAACAGCCTCGCCCATGCCGGTACCTTCCTCGCCCTCTGCGCCCTCGTCACCTTCAACTTCTCCTCTGCCATCGCCGGAGAAGCCACCGAAAGGTGGAAAGAAGGGTGCTCCACCTAAAGGCATGGGCAAGGGGAAGGACAAGGGCAAGGGAAAGGAGAAAGGTGCCAAAGCTGAACCAAGGAAGCCCGACGTAAAGCCAGGTGTGCAAGTCAAGAAGCTTTTCTGGAACTCTTTCCGCATTGATAGTGCGCAGAACACGGTCTGGAATGCTATTGAAGAAGAAGGTGCACAGATTGACACGCAGCAGCTAGAGACTTTGTTTTGTGATGAACCTCTGAGAGGCTTTCATCGCTTTGCCTCGCCTTCGCCGGAGAGCGACCGTCCGACGGTAAAGCGTGTTCAGGTCGTGGACACGCAGCGTAGACGGCAAGTTTGCGTCATGCTAGCGAGACTTCCGCCCACGCCAATTGCAGCAAGGGCCTTGCTTCGCTTGGATAGCGAGGTGCTCAACAGCGAGCAAGTAGAGCTACTGCACTTTAACCTGCCGTCGGAGGACGAGATCAAGCTGTTGCGCAAGGCACAGGCTGATCAAACTATTGATGAACTGCACGTGTGGGACACAGCAGAAGAGTTTCTTTTGGCCTGGATTGCCGTACCTCAATTCGAGCTGCGACTCCGCACCTGGCACTTCGAGAATACGTTTCAGGAGCGGTTTGATGCTCTAGCAGAGGGACTGCGAAGTGTCTTGGAGGGATGTCGATCCGTGCTGGATTCCCGCTGCATTAGACATCTTCTTGGGATTGTCCTTTATGCTGGCAATTATTTGAACGGCGGCACACCTCGAGGACGAGCAGATGGTGTCTCGACCCGAAACTGTTTTTCTCCTTGTTTCATGAATCTCAACCTTGCTACTGTATAGTCCTGCTTCTCAATGACGTTTTTGACGGGACCCTGCTTCTCTAAGGATTTGCGCTGGACACACTCCCAATCATGCGAACAGTGAAGATGTCACAGGCCGATCGCCCGGGAACTTTGGTAGACTATGTCACTGGACAGATGGAGAGGCGGCATCCTGGAGACCTTCGCACTGTTTTTGCTCCTGGCGGCGAGTTCGAAGTCTTGACAAGCGCTGCCAGACACAAGGCCCCCGACCTCGCAGACGAGCTGCGGAAATTGCGAAGCTATGCCGAGCAGCTCTCCAGCCGCCTTCTCAACCTTTCTCCTGCAGACGCGCAAGACTCAAGCATGGATGCTCGCGAATCAGAAGCAGCCCGCTCTTCAGGTTCTGGTGTGGATGATGTCCTTTTAGCTTGCCAAAGGTTGCTTGCAAGCCGAATCGAGGAGCTCGAGAAGCTAGAGGCTGAGCTGAAGCAACTCGAGGAGAAGTACGAAGAAATCGTTGTTTGGTTCCATATGGAAGAAAGAGGCGCCCGAAAGCCAATGGACGAGTTCTTTCACATTTGGGACAAGTTTCTTCGGGATGTTCAGGTTGCCCACAAAGCGTTTGAGCAGCAAGAGCTGAAGGAGAAGCGTAAGACTTCCATGCCTCCTCGTCGCGCCACGATGCATGTACCCCGCGAGAAGGAGCGCGGTGATCGCAGCCTGCGAAGCTTGACCCCGCGGCGGAGCGGCAAAGATTCGACGACTTTGAGTGGTGATACTCGAACTCAAGCCGACGAGGATACTGCATCCTCGATCTTTCCGACAAGACCGCGGTTCTCCAGTCACACTGACTTTCAAAAACATGACCGTGCAGCCCAGCTCGAGAAAACTGGAAGAGGCCTGCTCTAGCCGAGCTCGACAGCGGCTCGTGCTGGATCACCAGCGTCGTTACAGTATTGCTTGGCCACAAGGACCTGTAAGGTCTCTGTAGAGTGAGAGTTCTGGCTGCACAAGATTTCAGCCTGCTACAGAGCCAAGCAGACAAGGTGCACGTGTATGCCTACTTTCGTTCGAGATTTACATGGAAAACCGTATTCGAGGAAGTGACATTTGCTGCTCGCGACTGCGGTTGTGCATGTATACATGAGCTGCAGTGGTTCAATTCGCGATCCCGACCTTCACCTTCCCTTGCACAGGCTCCACGTGTCGGTTGCGAGTGGGGGCCTGCTATTCGCACTTTTTTCCAAGGATAGACAGGCAGATAGAAGGTGAGATATCAGGCCTTCGTCTGGATGCGCCAGCGCAGTCAAAGGCAACAGCAATACAGTAACCAGAAATCAGGTTCAACATTGCTTTGCGCACATGGGGTCGATTACAGGAAACGGCCTGGTGCCCAGCCTGAGGCAGGCAAAGGAAAAACCCGAAACACCAAACACCCAACCCTGCAGCATTAAACGACTAGCAATTTCAACTGCAAACCTCCAAACCTTAAGCGAAGCCCCTGAAGCGCTTTCGATCTGACAGGCGAATGGCGAACTCGCTGGCTGACTGCCAGATTAGCAGAGATGGCCGAGGTCTCCCTTCGCAAACTGCTGATTCGAGCTGTAGGGTCTGATATGAGTTTCGTGGCCTTTCAGCGGTAGCATTGATTGTCTTCGCATTGTGGCGACATCAAGAAGTAGCCGTATGTAACCGTAAGTGAGGAGGATTTACGGTGAGACTTGGTGGCCGTTGGAGGGTGTCGGGTTCAGGGTGAAGAAGCACTCTGAAGGTGCGGATGCTTTTTTACAGGTTCTACCAAAACTCTCGACATGTCAGAGCCTGCATGGGCCTTAAGAAGCTTTGAAGGTAGAGCTGTCCGGTCTTGAGAAGACGCTACTAGAGCAACTCGCCGACTCCAGCGGCAACATTCTTGAGAACGAGCCACTTATTCAGTCTCTCGAGCAGACGAAGGCTGCTGCAATCACAATCTCAGAGTCTTTGACGGAGTCATCCCGCCTGCAAATGGACCTTGATCAGCAGCGTGAGGTGTATCGTCCGCTTGCCACATTGGGCTCTCGAATCTTCATTCTCGTCAAGGAGCTTTCTGTCATCGACCACCTGTATCGATTCTCTCTGGAAGCCTTCATGGCTCTATTCAACAAAGTGCTTAACCTGCAGTTGGGTTCTGAGACCACGGACGACAAGCTGAGGCAGCTGGGAAACCAGTTGAAAATCGTTGTGCTGTTCTACATTTCACGCTCACTGTTCAAGGCCGACAGGCTGACGTTTGGCATTGACATGGTCAGGGGCATAATGCCTGAGAAGTTCGAGGCGAACGAATGGGAGCTCTTTCAAGGAGTATACATTCAGCACCAGCTCCTGGGTGGTGTCCACAGGACAGAGCGCAGGCACTCCAGACTCTGCGTGCGACTTTCCCAAAGATCGACGAGCACTGGCAGCTGAACAAAGATGCGTTGTGGGCTCCTCGGGTGGCATCTGACAAGTGTGAGGAG